TAAGTAGTGCCGATAATACTCTGGAAAAATTAACGCGGCGAATTAAAGTATATTTACGATGTGAAGTTACGTGTAAAATATAATTGATGTTTTAAAAGTAAATAGTCCATGTTTATTAATAGTCTATAAAAGAAAATATCTTTGAAGTATACATGGTTATAAATTCAAAGTTATGTTCACGAGTTATTAATTTCGCCTTTACCATACTAAATGTTAATAACTTTCATCAAACTAAATGGTTCCTAAAGAGGGTGTCCCGCCCTTACTAAGTCGTCCAAACGAGTCCAACAAAACCTACACCATAAAATACGTTTTTAATGGACACCGGACGATAAATTGTGCTTAATAACAGAAATATTTTATTAGGCTCTCGAAAAAAGCGTTCGCTTTTCAATTTTTACGGCGTAAGTATTTGTATAAAAAATACACGCCNTCAGTTTACGCAGCAACACCAAATATAAAGCCTTAATTTATGTTAGTGTGAGGGTGGCGCGTACACATACTACAAAAAAATACACGCCCTTTGAGATGCGATCTAACGTTTGTGTCAGAAAAGGGATAAAACGCAGCTATCGTCTTGGCGGGTGCTCGATTTTTCGGTTCGTTATTGGAGTTCCGCATGTACGATTAAAAAACAAGTAGTCATTTTTAATTCTAAATGCAAAGAACAAGAAAATTATGCCCCTGTTTTAGTTTTAAGCCAATAGCGTTCATTGTGTCAGTTGTATTTTTTTAAACAAAAAAAAAACACAAATATAAAAAAGGTAAACTCACTGTGCCGCAATGTTTGGTGACCGTTTTTTTCTTTCAGTTCAACGATGCCAATTTAGGTGTACAGAAATTAGGGTAAAGGTTCTTTAATTACACAGAGATAAATATTTCAATTTTTTTAGGAAACAATGAAGATTTTACTGGTTCCAATTTGACTAAAATGTAGACCAACTATCTACGGAATTCTCAATACACTTATAGCCCACGCTTGTCCCTTTTTATCCCAGAGGCGGCAGGTTCTTTTATTTTTTAATAATTTTTATATGACAGATGAAGATGACCGGTCGGGCCAAAGATGCGTCACAGTCCTTTAAGAACATAGATTTTGATCTACAAAAAGGTTTGGAATTAGATGTAGGTGCCGTATAATGCAGGGATATGGTATTTGTCAAATAACTTGTTAGAAGTGACAAATTGCGCATCCTTCGGAGGTGTCACTTAAGCTATAAAATGGATTTTGAAAAATAATCTTTGACAACGTTATTCATATTTTTTGGGGTAATTTAATATAACGCCTACGGAGGGTTAAGTGGTGGAACGGTAAAAAATATGGAATTCTGATATTAGATTTAAATTCAAAATAAATGACTGTTGGTTCAAGAAAATCATCATTATATCAACTCTACATTTTACAAATTCGTGCAAAAGTATGAATAAATCTTCTTACCTTAGTCCAATGCACGTCACTGAGTCTGCACCTCCTGTTTTCTTTCATTTTATCATAGCTTATCATCCATCGTGCTTATACTCGTAGCTAAGCTTCAGCTTGCCTTCCAATACCAAGCTTTACATGACAATGTTTCCACTTTGGAAATTGTTGAATCTGTGAAAGTTCACATCATCAATTTTGTACCTATACTTACTTCTTTATATTTATGATTCAACGAATAAGAAATTACCTTTATTTTATTCCTCGTTGATGTGGAAGAGCGAGCTAAAAAACATAACCCTCCTTCTGGCGCAGTCGGGTAAATACGTAACAATCATTGCACCCGCATTTCATAGCTATACAATTAAAGAAACTTTAAGTGAGCTCCTACCTAATTATAAACCAGAATGAATATGATGTTAACCACATATTGTTTGATTTTCAAGCTGCTTCAAACACACATAAAAGAATCTCATTATGTTTGTTACGAATCTTTCAAAAAGCCGAAACAGACTGGCAAGACGTCGATAATTAATGCCACTCCGTGAACTGTTCGAACCAAATGTTCCCGAAACTATCATTAATAACTTCCAAAATACATTAATCAGAACATGACAATAACATCAGAGCAGATGCTGAGATCAAAAGACTTAAAAAATCTCAAGTTATTCTATAAACAAACAAGGTGTTAATGCAAGCGATAAGATGGGAATCTCCCCTTCTTATAAAATATTGATATTTAATAGTCCGATAGAGTGTAACGCAGGCAGCTCCAGTATACCTTTAGCATACCAGATCACCGCATCAAGAATTCTCTTTGACACAGCTTTTGTATAGCAAACAAGGGCTTACGGCGTGGCATTAGGTCTCATAATTCCGTGGATGTAATCTCGGTCTAAATGAATGCAGGTGGTACACGATGGCATCGCATCGGTTTTATCTTAACTATCGCATCTCCAAATATTAAACTTTTACTTTTATAGGGCTTTAAAAGACAAGTCGTGTTCACCAAAGGGCGCCCAATATAAGTCAAACGAACGTTTTTCTGTCGCTTCCTTTTCTTTATATCATTGACACTTTTTTGTGGTCTCAGAGAATCTTCAGCCCCCCTAGACAAAACGCACTTTTTGATCGAATCGAAAATAAAATCCGTCAAAACTGCATACAAAAAAGGGGCTTTTCGACCACTTTTCGACTGGTTTGCGATTATAATTTGCACTTTGTCTAGACCCAGTGACCCACAGATCTACTTAAGAAAATATTATAGTAAGCATACAAACATTTAAATAATAAATAAATATTTTCGAACCAAAAGAGTTCATTGACTTCAAACATGTTAATTACAATAAAATATTTGCTTAATATTGAAGGGAAATTACCTAAGTTTTCTTAATTGTATAATTTCATTACGTATTCTGTAATTTGAGAATAAATGAATTTAATTACTGGCGTTTGTAATTACAATGTAAAATAATATTCACGAAGCAGTAAATAGCTTTATACATATTATTTGAAAAGTAATACATAGTAACTATTCTTTAAATTATTTGATGATTGTTTGATTTATATTGTCAGTTTTCTCGTATCAAATATTATGTTGAATATTTCTTAACGTAGTTTTGCCATACAAAATATTTTATAAGCCGTTTCGGAGGATTTTTTTACTAACACTGTGACACAAGAACTTTATGTCATTTTGTGAGCTTCGCACTATAGCTGTTAAATTCCTAAGGTTAAAATTCCTATCGTGTAGGGAAACGTGTGTGAAAACCTTGGCTTACGTATTGTAGTATAAATGCTCGATGCATTACGCATACAAAATTATAATTGTTAACTTACACGTTAATGTACACTTGTAAGTAGACCTTTTAAAAAATCTGGGTTATAGGCTTCACTTGTACGTATGTACTTTACTTTACTTGTACATTATGTGCACATATGTAACGTATTCAACAGAAGTTTCGATCTATTGATATGACCACCAGAACTATACACCGAGGTTCGATTCCCAACCTGGCACACAACAACAATGTAATAGCATTTTTGTGTTTCAGCAGTTGGAGTTACGATAGGATAAAATTCATCTGTTATTTGAATTAGAGGCAAGAAAGAGCCTTCCAGTTGGAGTTACAAAAAAAGGAGAGTTTTAGTTTTTGACTATTAAACTATTAAAAACTATCAAAATGTATTGTTGATTGTTCTCTTAAAATAATAAGATTATCTGAGTTTACCTGTTTTTGTGTCCCATAAAACACAATTCAATTCGGTTCTTTGTTAATTTATAGCGGTTGCTATTTACATTGGAATGTAGCATTACAAAATCAACATTACTCTTGTAATAATTATACTCAAACGGTTTTAAAATTATACCATTTCATCAGACTAACATTGGCAGAAGCCTCCGGCGGTATGTGTTTGCGATAATGAACTTATGGCATGAACTGTAGCGCTAATGATTTTAGTTAATATTATAAGATAAATAGCGAACGGTTTAATTTAATTCTATTGGCTTGGCAGTTGCTTCTAGTCGTACAACTAAAATATTACGTCTCGTAAGATTAATTTACGTAATCCATATATTTGAAGCTAGGCATTCTTCTGACTCATTTTGAGATACTGACATTAGCAACAGCGACGGATAATCTTAAAAATACAACTACGACGTTAAGGTGTATTTACATTTATTTATTTATTTAAAACAAGTTACATAGCATTTATATTAATGATAGCTATTGACGGTGTCACAAAAACCAGTTTTGGTTTTACTGTGCACCGCTGATTCGACATCAGACTCAATCATTCAGAGCATAAACACATAATTTAGTACTTAGAAGCGACAATATCCGAACGATGAAGGTATTGTACTGGCTGACTCTAGATTCGATGAACGCTGGTTCGAACCCGCCGCTGCTGGACAATTGTAGTGATCCCATTCTAAACACATAACAAGCATATTAAGCTTACTACGAGGGCCTAACTATAGTAACTTGTATTGCACAAATTAGGTATACTAATATCCTTTTTAAAAATGTATTTTGTGTTGTAATCATTTTGAAATTGGTGCTACTGAAAAAAAAACCGGCCAAGTGCGAGTCGGACTCGCTCACCGAGGGTTCCGTACAAACCTGCAAGGTTTACAAAGTTCGTTCATTACGACAATCGAGTCATAACTATGGTATTTTTATTGCAAAATGAAATTCATAAGTTTATATTTATTAAAAAATATATATTTTGTAATGTAACTAAAAATTTTAGGTTTTCGGAATTTTTCCTTCATGTGTGCTATAAAAAGTTGCTTCATGCCAAATTTCAAGATTCTAGGTCGACTGGAAGTACCCTTTAGGTTTTGATTCCCTTGCGAGTACTTGCGAGTTTCAAAATATGCAGCTTAAATTGCTGTTTCTTTTGATTGCGTTGACATAGAAGTTTGATTTTGTTACAACTTAAAGGTATTATAGACTTGAGTATTTGGTATGAATTTCAATTTAATACCTCTACGCGTTTATGAGGAAATGGGTAGTAAGTTTAAAATTATTTAAAAAANCTCGCAGCTCGCTAGTGAGTTACTTGGCACACAAGTTTAACTCCATCTAAAGAATGTGTTAGAATGTACCTTGTTGGCATCTCTGTCTTGCGAAGCCACAGCCCCAGCAGGCATGGAACAAAGTAAATGCCTGAGCAAATTGGCCTTGGCTCGCAATTCCCCAGTCAACTGCTTGGCATGTTCCTCTAAGAACATCTCCATCTAAAGAATGTTCTAGAATGTACCTTGTTGGCGTCTCTGTCCTGCGAAGCCACGGCCCCAGCGGGCATGGAACACAGCAGGTGTCTGAGCAACTTGGCCTTGGCTCGCAGCTGGTCAAGTGAGCTACTTGGCATGATTCTCGACCCCTTATCTATAGAATCTTCTAGAATGTACCTTGTTGGCGTCTCTGTCTTGCGAAGCCACAGCCCCAGCAGGCATGGAACAAAGTAAATGTATACACAGAGGTCCTGGGTTCGATTCCCAACGGATACATGTTTTGTATGGTTTGGCTGGATCTAAATCCACCTGGCACACAACAACAATGTAATAGCATTTTTGTGTTTCAGCAGTTGGAGTTACGATAGGATAAGATTCATCTGTTATTTGAATTAGAGGCAAGAAAGAGCCTTCCAGTCTGTTGGAGTTACAAAAAAGGAGAGTTTTAGTTTTTGACTATTGAACTATTAAAAACTATTAAAATGTATTGTTGATTGTTCTCTTAAAATAATAAGATTATCTGAGTTTACCTGTTTTTGTGTCCCATAAAACACAATTCAATTCGGTTCGTTGTTAATTTATAGCGGTTGCTATTTACATTGGAATGTAGCATTACAAAATCAACATTGCTCTTGTAATAATTATACTCAAACGGTTTTAAAATTATACCATTTCATCAGACTAACATTGGCAGAAGCCTCCGGCGGTATGTGTTTGCGATAATGAACTTATGGCATGAACTGTAGCGCTAATGATTTTAGTTAATATTATTAGATAAATAGCGAACGGTTTAATTTAATTCTATTGGCTTGGCAGTTGCTTCTAGTCGTACAACTAAAATATTACGTCTCGTAAGATTAATTTACGTAATCCATATATTTGAAGCTAGGCATTCTTCTGACTCATTCCGAGATACTGACATTAGCAACAGCGACGGATAATTTTAAAAATACAACTACGACGTTAAGGTGTATTTAGATCTTTTAGTACTTAGAAGCGAATATCCGAACGGTGAAGGTATCGTACTGGCTGACTCTAGATTCGATGAACGCTGGTTCGAACCCGCCGCTGCTGGGCTATTGTAGTGATCCCATTCTAAACACAAGCATATTCTTATTTAGCTTACTACGAGGGCTTAACTATAGTAACTTGTATTGCACAAATTAGGTATACCTACTAATATCCTTTTAAAAAATGTATTTTATGTAATCACTTTGAAATTGGCGCTACTGACAAACACAAAGCATTTGAAAAACTTCACCACAAGGTAACGTTCCCTATCTTAAAGTATTACCTCATTTGTTTTTGGTGCAATTGACTTATTTAACATTGTTCATTCTAATCTACAATGTAAAACAAAGCTCCAAAGCTCTAATGGTAAACAAATAAGTTACACACGTGCTACCTGTGTAGCTGTCGTTTAAAAGGTTCATGTAGCGACAAGTCCTAGTTTCAAACAATGGGTCTTTTCAGCGCGATTTGCAATTGTTTCTATTAATACTTAGCTTTAAGGTGTTAATTAGGGAATAAAGTAGCAGTATATTACGTCATGTATTTTAGTTGAACCATTGTTATGGCTTTGTTATGGTAACTACGTAGATATTAGGAAGAGATTCCCGAAAAACACAACTTTTTCCTCACTGGCTGATTCATTACAAAAACAGTGGTGTCAATGATTAAAGGATGTACTCCAATAACATTGCGATGATTAACATTATGTGAAAATATTGAATTGTATACAGGATGGAAACGATAAGTGATCTCACTCTATTATTTTTAAACTATAGGTACAAGATATCAAAAAACGCTTCACGAGTTCTTTCAAACGTTACCAATAATAGGTTACAGAATAAACTGGATTTATCCAATAACTAAATTTTTCCATCCATACATTTGGTACAACCACATAATTTTAAAAACTACACAAGATAATGTAAAACTAGTTTGTGATCCTGATCGGAGCTCGTGAAGCACTTTCAGGATCAGTAACCAGTTTTTCGATACCTATCTTGTATAGTTTAGAAGTAATCAAGTGATATCACTTGTCGTTTCCACCCTGTATAGTATTGTTGGGGCAGAAATTTTTCTACCTACGACACTAGGTGGACCGATACTATGGTGAATGAAGGTCGGGACCTGTAAAACCTGGAAGCAGACAGTGCAAGACCGGTCGTTATAAAAATCCTTGGGGGAGGCCTTTGTCCAGCTGTGAACGTCATTTGGCTGAAAGGAACGAACGAACGATATTGTATCGAAGAATCCCAGCTAGGAAAGCACATCTACTGCTAATCATCCGATTGCGCATACTAATCAGACCATGAATATGGATGAGGACTGATGGAAAAAGCGAACGGAACCCAATCACATTGCGATAATTTTAGAAATGTACGATTTGAGCGAATGTACCTTACTTTTGCCTTGATTTAAGTGTAGCTTAGAGGATATCGAGAGAATAATGATGATGCTCAAGTGATTCCTTGTCTTTAACATCAACACTAATCAAGAATTGATACATAATTATGTTTATTGACTGAGTTGATACTTTGTTAGATAAAGTTTTTGATGAAATACAAAGCAATTGGACTAAAATGTTGCTCAGCATCTAAGTAGAGTATAATTGAGTCAACATTGCAGCAGCAGTCACGTGGATTGAGCATCATTTTGAAGATTTGATCATCTAACTCGTGGAACCCTAAGTGGTCGCATGAGACCACGGTAAGAATTTATTTCTAATGTGTTTTGAACCAAGGTAGGTAGGTAATATAAAGGTTTCAAATACCTATGTAGGTAAAATTTTTCGATCGAGAAATGTTACAGTTGTACACTGAAAAGAATCTTCATCTTCACGCCTGTGATTGGTCTAGATTTTGAAAATCAGCCAAATTACTAACCTAAAAGCCTCTATACCTAAAACAAAGTAAAAAAATATCCCATTACCAGTTTGAATGTCATGTGAAACACCGTTTGTGTGTTTATTAAATTTTGATGACTCTATTCAATTGATATCCGTGTGAACATGATATCATTATCACTTGGTCACACATGTTTTTATAATTGCATTCACAACTAGAAGTTGGTAAAGAAATCGTTGACGATGAATATTTGAACTCCTATAAAGTAGAGGTAGCTATAAATGAAAGCGCTTTTAAAAGCCTATTTAAAAAAATGAGTTTACTACAGGAGACATTTTGTGTAGTTCCTACAGGTTCTATTCCTATCTCGCTGTTTCTGTCGATTATACCGGTACTCACAAACATTACTATGATGTCTCACAGTGCGCGTGGATGCACAAGGTCACACACATTACTATGAGGTCTCACAGTGCGCGTGGACGCACAGGGTCACACACGAACCAACCACAGAGCTCTATTCAAGGCTGTGCGTTCGATTTGCTGCTTCACTTAAGCAAGCAACGTTTGTGAATATGGGTGTTGGTGTGTTTACGCCGTGTAGTTTTAGTAATCAGTGTGTTAATTTAAAGCATTTCACAAACACCGTACTCTACATACAATATAGATATTATAGATCATAATTATCGGCATTTCTCAGATACTTAAGTTTTTTTAACTGTCAAGTTCAAATGTTTTATGCACACTAACTTTACTCGTATAAATGTTCTGAAGGATACAAAGTCAATGCAAAAATATCAATTAATCAAACGAAAGATGTTTCGATGCTATACAATCTTGCATCTCCTGTTAATTGCTAACGCAAGACCGGTATTTAAAACAATATTAACTCTTGAGAATAAAGCGATTAGTGCGTTTTTACTCTTCGGAAAATGAAGGGTTGTAAAGGTGGAGGAGCAAATGGTTGAAAAAGGCGAAACTGTCAAGCTTGATTTGATTTGAGTACAACGGTTCCGTAGAAGTATGTCAAGTATTACTTGAGTTGGGTTGATTATGTTGTTGTAATACAGCCGGCCCCCCACAAGGGGGCGTGTAGGGTCCGCCGTGTAGGCGGGCTGTCGCCAGTGGTGTCGCGGAAGTCTAAGGCTACGGCCGGATACTCGCGACACCGCCACTCGGGCGATGACGGAACGCCGTGCAGGTTTTAGTGGGTATACCCCGTCCTTTTCAGGACGGAGCAGCGCCCTTTTCAGAGCGCCGGGAGTCCTACACACCACCCTGGCCCTCGGCAGTGGTGACGTTGCGCAAAGCATTTCGTCCGCGACAAAAAAAAAATTGTAATACACAGCTTAGGAATTAATGGAAGGTGCTGCGAAAAAATCTTTAATACCTTTAAAAAAATCTACGCTATCACGGATTTCATTTACGTACAAGGATCTCTTAGTCCTACATCAGTTACGTAGTGTGTCAGTCCGAAGTCAGTGGGGATTACCTAATGGCGATTTGTCCTTATGACACATAAAATTTCCATGATCCAGATAGATAAAATGTACGGACTACGGCACATGTACGGGTAGTGTAGGCAGGCCTCCCACTAGGTGAACCGACGATCTAGTAAAGAACGCGGTAAGTATCTGGATGCGGGCAGCGCAAAAAGTCGTTATAGAAATCCTTGAGGGAGGCCTTTGTCCAGCAGTGGACGACCGGACTACGGAACCCCAAATTACGTTCCAAGCGACCGGCCACCAGCGCGGTGGTAGGCGGTGTAAGCTTGTCAATCATAACTACTTCGCCCCACGTTGCAATTTCCATTACAGTGTAGTTGTAACTTTTTCTGTACATTGAAAGTTGAGATTTTTTACTACACTTAGTACTACAAACTTAATTAGTTCTTCTTATTACTGCCTGCTAAAATTATTTTCCGTTTTTGCAGTAAGAAACTCAGTTTGTTTTTGGCATAAATTACCCACTACACACATACATATTTCGTGAATAAATATTTATTTGCAAGAAAAACATATTGGATAAGAAAAGTGAAATTTATTGAATGAATGAACTAAAATCGTTGTATGGTAAATCGGTGATCACGGACGCTTAGTTGAAACTAGTAAGAAAGGAGAGACTTTTAATGTTAGTGATATTGTACTCATTGGTTTACCTACAAATCTAGCCGTCGTGCACAAAATTACTATTAAACTTTAAAAAGATCAGCGTTTTTAGTTCGAATTGAAAATAAATAGCGACCAGTGTGTACATTATGACTCCAGATTTATGTACCCAATTCAACTTGGCTCATAGAAAACTAGAATACGAGTATGTCTCGAGTACTCCCCGCGGGTAGGAGCTAGCCCCTGTTTTTTATAGCTTCGGGGTCGTGGCCCGATAGCCTGATGGTTAAAAGGTTGAACAATCGAGCATCCGTGAGAATACAGACCACTTCAGGCTAATGCTTAGAGCATAGCTGGATTAGTTCAGCCATGCCATTCGTAACCTTTCACATTTTAAAATTATGGATGATGGGTTTGTACAAAATAGCGTATAATTACGTGCTCTAATATGCTTTTTGTTTTTTGAAGGTAAATACCGGCACTCAATATAGTTACTTATGTATTTTTAAAAAGCTTTATCATACAATATTTTATTTACTTTTGGTGATGCAAAATATTTGGTGAACTATTATTTCTCTACAAAAAGTTAGCTGGATGGACCAAGAGCAGTGACAAAATTGTAAATAACTGTAAATATATAACTAGTGACATCACCTTTTCTGTTTTAGGTACAGAAATAAGAATTTTTAATACTGTTTAGGGCAAGTAATGAGCCCACCTTAATTAAACTATTAACCCTTTACGGCGCTCAATTGCAGTTCTGCATCATACCACTTGAACTCATAGAATCTTTCAAACAGTAACAAAAATAACTTTTAACGTAGTGCGGCATATCTGCAGCAAAGCACCCTTACGAGTTAGTTAACTCTGTTTGTGCTAGATGGCGCTATTTTATTTTTGTGATCACCTAAAGTGAGAAACTTGTAAAATCCGGTTTGTTTTGTTCGGTGGTGATTTTGATTCTTTGTTTTTCTGGTGTTAATGAAAATATTGATCTGAAATTGGTGTGGAGTGAGGGTAAGTTATTGGTTTTCAATAATTTGATATATTTGAAATGATTTTTATTGTATTTACAGAATAAGAGGACAATTTTCTTATGATGCAGTTATGCATCATTGCGCTTTAAATTTATCATTTTTACTTTGTGTCTAATATNAGTTCCCCAGTCAACTGCTTGGCATGTTCCTCCAAGAATTCGCAGCGTTCGGCGCGACGAGCGGCCGCCCGTTGAAGGGAGACGATGCGTTCTATCAACGCTTGGCGGTCGGGCTCGCGGACCTGGAATGGGATTTTAAACTTTAATTAGATGGTGATAGAGTTTAAAATCACCAAGGTCATCTCGCACCAGCTGCAGGTCTTCGTCAACCGCTGCCTTCGCGCATCGCATTGCGCTCGGCATATACTGGCCTGAGAAAATCTCCAACGTCGAGCTATTGGAACGCTGCCACGAAATTCCGATCGACCAGCAGATCAAGCGCCGCAAGTGGAACTGGATTGGCCACACTCTCCGAAAGGATCCCGATCACATCCCCAAGCAGGCTCTGGATTGGAACCCCCAAGGAAAACGCAAGCGTGGTCGCTCCAAGCAAACTTGGCGGCGCACTGTGGCAGACGAGGCGAAGAAGATCGGCAAGACTTGGAGCGAGATCAAACACATAGCTCAAGACCGAACGCGATGGAGGACTGTTGTGGACGCCCTCTGCCCCATCTAGGGGACATAGGACCATAAGTCAAGTAAGTCAAGAGTTTAAAATATTTGTCGTATAACAGGTGGTAATATTACAAATTAGAAACAGTGAATATGAGTAATAGGATGTTTTAAACCTTAACGCCCGTAGTCACAAACGGTGCTTGCTTAAGTGAAGCAGCAAAACAAATGCACAGCATTGAATAGAGCTCTGTGATTGGTTCGTGTGTCACTCTGTGCGTCCACGCGGACTGTGAGACCTCACAGTAAAGTTTGTGAATACGGGTGTTAATTTATTGGATAATGGCGTCAACTATAGCTGTAGCGCTTAACTACAGAGTCTGTACCTGAGGTATAGGAGAGGCACAGGAGGGTGTTTTTTGTTCCGTCAAATGTCAGCGAGACTTCAGATTTGTATGCGCTGTCACGTCAAAATATACTAAAATCACCCCTCCCATACCTCAGATACTGACTGAGTAGAGCTAAGGCGGCGAAATTGACATATTATGACGTGACGAAGCATACAAATCTGAAGGAGATTTGTAGTCTCGCTGACGTTTGACGTTACAAAAACCCCTAAACCACAAGCACTGACCGAGTCAAGCACTAAACCTAATAAATAACGTTAATGATACTTCAAACCTTTTGTTAAATACATCAATTAACAAAAATATGTTTTTGCGGCTGAGTTTCATCTAATAAGAATCTAATCTAATTATTTATCAACTTACATGAATTTATTACATATTTCTAATAACAATAAGTGGTTTAAGAAAATCTACAACTACCAGTAAATACTTTTATTATAGTTGTTCGCAATTCACGAAGGCGAGTGAGCTTTACATGTGTGGTGGCTCGCGACTGTTCGTTTTTCAAAAGTTTTGACAGACATTACACTATCGTTATGTGCCTGTACACGTACACACACAAGCTCACTCGCCTTCGTGAGTTGCAAGAACTATAAAGAAATATATTCGTTCACATTCGCAAACCTTTGGGAAAAGTTTCTCAAAGAAACCAGGGTCTTTTATCTGAAAACGAAAATCTATTTTCACGATTACATAATACGTACCACTGGGGATTGCGGTTGGTCCTAAACGCAGCGTGAAATAGTTTATTAAATGAATTAAATTTTGATATCGGATGATTCTTCATACAAATTAAAATCGGGCCCAACTATCGGCCAACTAAAAGTTGGTGGTCTGCACCTAGGCTAAAGCCTTCCGCGATAAATGGGCAACACAAAAAGATTTTTTTAAATCAGACCAGTCCAGTAGTTCCTGAGATTAGCACGTTAAAGCAATACAGGTTCGAATTGAAAAAATATTTTTGTATTGTATAGTCCATTTATCGAGGAAGGCTTTAGGCTATATTAACATCACCCTACAGCATTGGTTCCCAGACTTATTTGAGACGTGCCCCCTTTCGACCATACAAAAAATTCCGCGCGTCCCTCCTCCAGCAACGATTATTTATTGATCATATCGAGCAGTCTGGAATGCATTCTCTCAACGGTCGCAAGTTTTTTATACTTAAGTACACTAGTCTTTGCACCTTCCCTAGGGGGCGCGCCCCCCACTTTGAAAACCAATGCCCTACAGCCAATAGGGGCGGAGCAGTGAAGAAAAATGTTGCAAAAACGGAAAATAATGTTCAAACTACTTTCACGCGTACGAAGTCGCGGGCACAGCTAGTAAGAGATAAGATAAAATCAATTCGAGTCATACCTGTATATCAGGAACGTCTGCGTGTCCGTTTTGTAAGCGATCCTCTTGCGGAGCGCTTTCACCGCTGCTCAGCGAACTTACTGACCCTGGGACGAAAAAAACACGTTGGTGATGATGATGAACAAGACTAATTAGGTCAGCTGGCCAACTTAGTAAATAGTGGCTGAGGTGGTGATGATAAGATGATGTGTATTGAGTGACCAAGGTGGACCGACGACATCATAAAGGTAGCAGGAAAGCGCTGGACGCAAGCCGCTACCAACCGCGTAACATGGAAAGAATTGGGGGAGGCCTATGTTCGCAATGGACGTCCTGTGCTTGAGATGATGATGATGAGTGACCAAGATTGCTCAATACTCAATAAATGTTTATTGCTTCCACAATTTAGGTAAATACTCAGTGTGTATATGTCAACGTGACATTGTGAGCTCCGTCAGATTATAATCTGACGTAGTTAAATTACAATCTAATCTAACCTAACCCACTGTTAGTTTACAATCTAACGCGTAATATTATAAACTGACAGAGTTCACAATTTCACGTTGACATATACATACAAGATCTTACAAAACAATTTTAATACCGTGATGAACCGTAAACCCTGCTGATTGAAAGTGCCTATGGCGATGATGATCAAAATTAATCAATGGCGATGACGATCAAGATTAACCAGACTAACAGACCATAATTATTACTTTGTAAAACAGTGCCAGAGGTGGTGATGATGATGGTGATCAAGACTAAAGGCGTAGTGCAAGTATATCTCACCGGTCCTAGTAGAGGGCGCGTCGGGTGGCGGCAACTTGGCTTCTAACTGCTCGCACCGCTTGAGCGCTCGCTGCAATTCGCGGTTCAATTCCTGGAGGTGACAGAGGAGTTTTACAACTATACAGGGTGGAAACGATAAGTGATCTCATTCGATTATTTCTAAACTATACAAGACATCAAAAACTGGTTACTGATAGTGCTTCACGAGCTCTTTCGAACAGCACCAATATTAGGTTTTAGAATAAACTGGATCTATCAGAAAATTCGATGTTACTAGCTTCCATACACAGCCACAATCATGGCACTCATCATTTGATAATATTACAGCAAGTAAAGCCTAAATCTAATGTTTTCCTTAGATATTTTTAAATAAGAATGCAATTTACGGGTTTATTTAGCTCTGGAAACATTGAATTTTTGGATAGATCCATCCCATTCATATGTTCAAAAGTGCCAAAATATTGACCTAAACTGAAAAAAATGTTTTTGGTTTTGATTTTGGTTGACCTCATAAAGGTAGCAGGAAGGCGCTGGATGCAGGCCGCTACCAATCGAGCGATGTGGAAGTCATTGGGGGAGGCCTATGTCCAGCAGTGGACGTCCTGTAGCTGAAATGATAATGATGACCTACCTTTATGGCACTAGCGTGTTTCTTCTTCAGAACACCGATCTCGCCCTTCTCCCATTCCAGTTTCTTGTTGGCCTCTGCCACTTCTTCGGTTAACTCCGCCACCTGTCGGCATACAATAGAAACTTTTAAGTGACTACCAGGGATAGAGGCACAGTCGAGGAACATAATCCATGACCCATTTCACTAAAATTTCGTTTGATGCTCAAAATGCATCAAGGTCGAAAATTCAAATGCAGTAATAGTATGAAAATGTCACCCACCCTAGACGACCTCACAGAGGTAGCAGGAAGGCGCTGGATGCCGGCCAGGCCGCTACAAACCGGTCATTATGGAAGGAAATCAATTTGTTGTACGATATTCAGCCTTAGGGGGTCACAAATTATATTCCTTGACTGTACAACAAGCATAACGTAACGGTAGATATGCGCTTTGCGATCTCTCACTCCAGTGATAAAAGAAGAAGAAACTGCTCACCGCTAGATGGCGTTGTACGTTTGTAACTCGCGGTAGTAAAGCTTTTGTTGAAGTAGCTAGATACTTCTTGAGACTTGAACACTGACCTTTCTAGCCAGAACTTTATTATCCTTATGCCTCCGTCTCTTAAAGCGCTTTGCAGCGCTGCAATATCTTGCACTAACGACAGAAGAAGAAGAAACTGGGCATCTTGTTGGTGGATGGGTGGCACTGCTCAGTTTACTCTTGTTTTTATTTTTTCTTCTTCCATTATTATGTGCCACTATCATGTCTATGTAATTGCCTGTATTTGTGTGATGTCCATTGTAATAAATGTATCTTTCTTTCTAATTCTCAAGATACATTTTGTCTTTTTGGGACTTAAAAACTTATCTTTCTAGCAAGCACTTTGTTCTCCTTATGCCTCCGCTCTGCAGTGTCCCCTAAAGCGCTTTATAGCGCTGCAATCTCTTGCTCTAACGACAGCAGAAGAAAAACAAACTGGTCACCACTAGATGGCGTTGTACATTTTTAACACGCGGTGGTAAAGTTTTTAGTGACTTACATAAGTAGCAACGCCTTTACTAATTCTCGAGATACTTTTGTCTTTTTGGGACTTAAAAACTTACCTTTCTAGCAAGCACTTTGTTTTCTTTATGCCTCCGCTCGGCCGCGTCGCCTAAAGCGCTTTGCAGCGCTGCAATCTCTTGCTCTAGCGACGTCGCTCGCTCGCGTAAGGACGCGTTGTCCGCTGTTAGCGCTTGAACCTGTAGGTTGTAATATTTGCTTTAGTATTCGAACAAGACTTAGGGCGAGTTTTCAATCGTCAGATATCTTTTCCCTAAAGTCAAAGTCAAAGTCAAAATTTCTTTATTTGTTTAGACTAATAAATAGTTCTTACAAATCGTCATTTTGCTCTTAAGGAGCCTCTACATGTCTCATAATCTTTTTACCCTACCAGCGCTTCGAGACCAACATTTGGCAAGTGCTGAGAAGAAGCGCCGCAACAAACTCAGTCACCACTGTCTGCCGGTTAATATAAATAAAAAGAAAAAGCAGTAGTAAGGTACATTTGATTCAGGAGCAGTTCACTGAATTTACCACGCATTCTTGTATGGTGTATTTTATAAAGAATAAACTTGTCATTTTGACATATTATTCAAAACATTTCTCCGCTCGCACTCTCACTGCGGCCGCCCGTCGCACAGTCGCGACAGCAATAAGGATGGGTAGCTTGGGGTCATTGTACGAAATTCTATCTGCTCGGCGACCGGACATTAGATGGCACTATGTGAAATTGTCAAAAGATTATTTTACCGCCTCTGTGGTCTAGTGGTAAGACCACCTGCTTCAGACGCAGAGGTCCCGGGTTCGGTTCTCAGTGGGGGCAGATTTTTCTGTTCGGTTTGGTTGGTGGTAGGACTTGTTCTAAGTCCGCCTGGCTAGCTACCACCATCTTACCTAAGTCTGTCGCCATAATAACAATGGTAACAGCATTATTGTGTTCCGGCAGTTAGAGGTAAGATAGCCAGTTCCTCCGTGGTTGACGTTTCCGGGTGAAGCTTGCTTCCACTTTCGGCCTGATCGTCACTTACCATCAGGTGAGATACAGGCCAAGAGCTTCCTCGATGTGAATAAAAAAAGAATTACTATGCACGCACCGTGTCGTGGTGCGAGCGCGCCGCCTGGCTGAGCGCGACGTGCTGCGCGGTGAGGCGCGCGGCGTGCTCGAGCGCGCCGGCCTCTCTGCGCGCGCACGTCTCTGCGAGCGCGCTGTGTACTCACGGTGTCGTGGTGCGAGCGCGCTGTATACTCACGGTGTCGTGGTGCGAGCGCGCTGTGTACTCACGGTGTCGTGGTGCGAGCGCGCCGCCTGGCTGAGCGCGACGTGCTGCGCGGTGAGGCGCGCGGCGTGCTCGAGCGCGCCGGCCTCTCTGCGCGCGCACGTCTCTGCGAGCGCGCTGTGTACTCACGGTGTCGTGGTGCGAGCGCGCTGTATACTCACGGTGTCGTGGTGCGAGCGCGCTGTGTACTCACGGTGTCGTGGTGCGAGCGCGCCGCCTGGCTGAGCGCGACGTGCTGCGCGGTGAGGCGCGCGGCGTGCTCGAGCGCGCCGGCCTCTCTGCGCGCGCACGTCTCTGCGAGCGCGCTGTGTACTCACGGTGTCGTGGTGCGAGCGCGCTGTATACTCACGGTGTCGTGGTGCGAGCGCGCTGTGTACTCACGGTGTCGTGGTGCGAGCGCGCCGCCTGGCTGAGCGCGACGTGCTGCGCGGTGAGGCGCGCGGCGTGCTCGAGCGCGCCGGCCTCTCTGCGCGCGCACGTCTCTGCGAGCGCGCTGTGTACTCACGGTGTCGTGGTGCGAGCGCGCTGTATACTCACGGTGTCGTGGTGCGAGCGCGCTGTGTACTCACGGTGTCGTGGTGCGAGCGCGCCGCCTGGCTGAGCGCGACGTGCTGCGCGGTGAGGCGCGCGGCGTGCTCGAGCGCGCCGGCCTCTCTGCGCGCGCACGTCTCTGCGAGCGCGCTGTGTACTCACGGTGTCGTGGTGCGAGCGCGCTGTATACTCACGGTGTCGTGGTGCGAGCGCGCTGTGTACTCACGGTGTCGTGGTGCGAGCGCGCCGCCTGGCTGAGCGCGACGTGCTGCGCGGTGAGGCGCGCGGCGTGCTCGAGCGCGCCGGCCTCTCTGCGCGCGCACGTCTCTGCGAGCGCGCTGTGTACTCACGGTGTCGTGGTGCGAGCGCGCTGTATACTCACGGTGTCGTGGTGCGAGCGCGCTGTGTACTCACGGTGTCGTGGTGCGAGCGCGCCGCCTGGCTGAGCGCGACGTGCTGCGCGGTGAGGCGCGCGGCGTGCTCGAGCGCGCCGGCCTCTCTGCGCGCGCACGTCTCTGCGAGCGCGCTGTGTACTCACGGTGTCGTGGTGCGAGCGCGCTGTATACTCACGGTGTCGTGGTGCGAGCGCGCTGTGTACTCACGGTGTCGTGGTGCGAGCGCGCCGCCTGGCTGAGCGCGACGTGCTGCGCGGTGAGGCGCGCGGCGTGCTCGAGCGCGCCGGCCTCTCTGCGCGCGCACGTCTCTGCGAGCGCGCTGTGTACTCACGGTGTCGTGGTGCGAGCGCGCTGTATACTCACGGTGTCGTGGTGCGAGCGCGCTGTGTACTCACGGTGTCGTGGTGCGAGCGCGCCGCCTGGCTGAGCGCGACGTGCTGCGCGGTGAGGCGCGCGGCGTGCTCGAGCGCGCCGGCCTCTCTGCGCGCGCACGTCTCTGCGAGCGCGCTGTGTACTCACGGTGTCGTGGTGCGAGCGCGCTGTATACTCACGGTGTCGTGGTGCGAGCGCGCTGTGTACTCACGGTGTCGTGGTGCGAGCGCGCCGCCTGGCTGAGCGCGACGTGCTGCGCGGTGAGGCGCGCGGCGTGCTCGAGCGCGCCGGCCTCTCTGCGCGCGCACGTCTCTGCGAGCGCGCTGTGTACTCACGGTGTCGTGGTGCGAGCGCGCTGTATACTCACGGTGTCGTGGTGCGAGCGCGCTGTGTACTCACGGTGTCGTGGTGCGAGCGCGCCGCCTGGCTGAGCGCGACGTGCTGCGCGGTGAGGCGCGCGGCGTGCTCGAGCGCGCCGGCCTCTCTGCGCGCGCACGTCTCTGCGAGCGCGCTGTGTACTCACGGTGTCGTGGTGCGAGCGCGCTGTATACTCACGGTGTCGTGGTGCGAGCGCGCTGTGTACTCACGGTGTCGTGGTGCGAGCGCGCCGCCTGGCTGAGCGCGACGTGCTGCGCGGTGAGGCGCGCGGCGTGCTCGAGCGCGCCGGCCTCTCTGCGCGCGCACGTCTCTGCGAGCGCGCTGTGTACTCACGGTGTCGTGGTGCGAGCGCGCTGTATACTCACGGTGTCGTGGTGCGAGCGCGCTGTGTACTCACGGTGTCGTGGTGCGAGCGCGCCGCCTGGCTGAGCGCGACGTGCTGCGCGGTGAGGCGCGCGGCGTGCTCGAGCGCGCCGGCCTCTCTGCGCGCGCACGTCTCGGCCAACGCGCGCGCTTCGGATAGGGACGCTTCTGCGCGCGACCAGCGCTCCGTCTCCCTGCAACAAATAATCGTCCGTCCGTTCGTTTCAGCCAAATGAAGTCCACTGCTGGACAAAGGCCTCCTCCAAGGTTTTCCACAATACACGGTCCTGCGCTGCCCGCATCCAGGCTCTTCCCGCGACCTTTACCAGATCGTCGGTCCACCTAGTAGGAGGCCTGCCCTAAATTGCTAAAATCAAGTGGTAGTGGGCGGGGCAAATAGCTCGTAGAGACGATGGCCGTTGGGGCAGAAAAGTTCTCGAGTGGCGACCACGGGCTGGAAGACGTACCAACAAATAATGTACCCTAAATATTTCATACAGTGTTATTAAGAACCGCCCCCATGACTACTTTTTGTAGCGATTCAAATGCGACACTGTCGCGCTTCTGTATCAATGCAAGCGCGATTCAGTACGGACACAAAATTAAGACCCCTCGCCCATGGCGAATTTTTGTAGAATGCTGTAGGGCGTCTCTTATACGAGCGGGTGACATTGGAAAAAGAACGGAGGGGTGTGGTGTTGGGATTTCTTTGCCAAATGTTTGTCTCGAAGCGCTGGTAGAGCAAAAAAAGAATCCTTAAGAACATTTGACGATTTACAAGTACTAATTTAATTAGTCTAAACAAATAAAGATAATTTTGATTTTGATTCTAAAAATATGTTGAGCGGCAACTACTCGTACAGCGATCGCAGGTAATTTTGTGCCATTACTGAATCGCGTTTGCATCGCGACTGAATCGTATTTATGTAGGCGTGGGCACATAGCTAGCGACTGTATCGATACGATCGCGCAACAGAATCGCTACAAAAAGTTACCGTGGGCGAGGGGCCTAACCCGACGCGGTCGCGTGTTTGCATTGATCGCGAAGCTGTAACGCGTTGTAAATTCGACTAAAGGACGTTAGAACAACCGACGACAAAACAACCCTTGAATTATCTTAAAATGTATATTCCTTCAAATACAATGAATATTCCTTCAAAAAAACGCCCTTTTATCTCCATCAGTCGGAATCTCTCAGTTGTTGAAATAGAAATGCTATTTTTAATTCAGTAAATAACTGTCCAATAACTTTCTTAAGTGTCCAATGACTGGCAGTTTACCCTAGTAGCGATGCTGTCGCTCATTTAAAGACGCGCGACAACATCACTACAAAAAGCCACCGTGGGGTCTAAGTTGTTTATCAATTATGTCTTAAATTTTTAAATTAATTTATTGCCTCAAGAGAGAATTGAACCCACACTATTTTGCTTGCCGAACGACTGCTCTGACCACTGCCTTTAAAATTATTTATCTGTCGTAAAATCTGGGGGCACGGCAGTGCCCCCACCAAGTCGAGCAAAAAAGCGGCACGGCCGTACCATCCTTTTCTCGAAGCAATTCAGGCCATTTTCGACTGCCTGTAATTTCGTTGTGGATAAAACTAGAAGGCTGAATTTTCATTAGCTATGCAGGCATTGGAAAGACACGGTATATTTAAAATTTCATTCAATTTGAACCAGTAGTTTAGGAATTATAACGGGTCAAATTTACTTAATTTTGTCACTCACTGACTGACTCACCGATCATCAAAATTCTAAGGCACTTCTAGCAGACCTAGAAGCTTCAAATTTGGAATATAAGTAGTGTTTGGTGTATGAATCAAGGAAAAACTAAAATATTTGGGGGCACGGTAGTGCAACCGCCAAGTCGAGTAAAATTTTTCAATTTCGGTCCAGTTTTCTAGATACATAACTGCTGTCTACAAAATACAAAAAGAAATGAGATCCCATCAAAAACAATACTTGTCAAAAAAACCAAGTCTCGCAACTCAGTTGTTCTACGGTAAAAAGTTGTGAGATCCATGTAATACCAAGTCCAGGCCAGGAAATCTTTAACGTTTTACATAAATATATTGACTTGGCCATCGCATAAAAACACGTGTAAATTAAATTATTTAGTGCGATGGCCAAGTCAATAATTTATGTAAAACGTTAAAGATTTCCTGGCCTGGACTTGGTATTACGTGAATCTCACAACTTTTTACCGTAGAACAACTGAGTTGCGAGACTTGTTTTTTTTGACAAGTATTGTTTTTGATGGGTTTTAGATTGACTATTCAATGTTGGTAGTAAATAAAATTATAATCTTACCTCTGTAATTGTGCACTGAGCGTGTCCGCCAAAGCTGCTTGGGCTCGCAACGCCGCTAATTCCGCCGCTTCCTCTTCCAATTGTAGGTTTCTGATCTTTAGTTCTTCTACCTGGAAACATAGATTTTTTGTAAACTCACTGAATAGTTTGCCCCAATCACTGTAGCTTATTAGACGCTTTCTTAACAGGAAAGTTTAGTTCGAGAATGAATTGGTGTTTCGAAAACCGGGACAAAAACAGGATAGTTTTTCCCTGTATTATCCCCATATTAAATTGAAAAAAACTCTACATCTAAAGTCTGGTCGCCGAGCAGATAGAATTTCGTACAATGACCCCAACGCTACTACGGCCACCCGTCGTGCAGTGAGTGTGCGAGTATGACAGCAATATAATTATGCGCGAGCGATAAGGATGGGTAGCTTGGGGTCATTGTACGAAATTCTATCTGCTCGGCGACCGGACTTTATCTACCTGATGTTAAAGGGAAATATGCATTTTCAAACTTAAGCATAGGCATGATTAGACCTGAGAATCTGAAATGAAACGGAACTAAAAAAATCAGAAATCTTTTATTAAAGTGTGAATAGCCTGTCTTGAAAAGACACTTCGCAATTATTTCATTAAGTCAACTTACCTCGGCCGTGGAGCGAGCGAGAGCCTCGTTAGCTATGTCCCTCTCTTTCACGCACGTGTCCAGCTGTTGGCTGGCTGTCGTGAATTTCTTCTCCAATTCGTCACGCTCGTGACGACACAGGATCAATGCTGCTTGGCTCTCTTTTAATTCTGCTTCTATTGGTACAAAACAAAGATTCATTTCGTTGCGTGTCCAATGACAGTTTAACTTTCCCCCGGGACAAACTTGGCCTTCACTGGTTGGGGTATGTCGGTCAAGCTGTAGATCCTGGCTACACAGGAGTTGCAGCGGTGGGATTAGTTCCCGTATTTGTTCACAATGAAATAAAAGTCTGTTAGACTGGGTGTCTTACATATTTACTAGCAGCCGCCCGCGACTTCGTACGCGTGGATCCCGTTTTACCGCCTTAGAAGTGGAGTTTCGTAAAATCCCTTTCTTAACGGATGCCTACGTCATAACATCTACCTGCATACCAAATTTCAGCCCGATCCGTAGAGTGCCTTGGGCTGTGCGTTGATAGGTCACTATGTCAGTCAGTTAGTCACCTTTGAGTTACATATATTTATGTGGGAGTGTGAAACGGAACGCAAGGGAGTGAGTGAGACGGAATGAATGAGTGAGGAAGTAAGAACGACGGGATTTAAATAGAAGACGATTAGTATTAAGACGGTTCTAGGACGTTCCTATTTTTTGTGGTTTATCCTGGAGTAAATACAAATACAGCTGAAGAAATACAACCTGGGTTTTAATTCCTACAGCTTGGGGGCTCGTCCGGGATAGCCCAAGAAAAGGAAACACGACGATTCACGACGATTACGACGGATTGAGACGTGAGACGTATTTTCATCAATCATGAGACGACGACATAGCAAGCATGATTTCGAAGATGCGGAAGATGCTGGCCCGAGCAAGACCCTGGAGCAGCGCATACCTACTACTTTTGCCTATGCCGAGGAGCTGATCCCAAAATTTAGTGGTCGAGATCAAACTGTCACCGCATCAAGATGGGTCCAAGAGGTGGAGGAGAACGCTGAGATCTTTGGTTGGTCACCATTACACCAACTCATTGTGGGACGCAGATCACTCATTGGAACAGCGGCACTCTGGTTGCGGTCGGAGAAGCCATTCAGGTCGTGGGACGAGTTGAAAACTGGTTTACTCAAAGAGTTCCCGGATTCGTTAGACGTAAAGACAGTCCACGAAATGATGAGTGCGAGAAAGAAGGCCAATAGTGAGAGCTGTACTGATTACCTACTTGTCATGAAGGAGTTGGGAAGGCGCGGGAAAATGCCCGACTACGTCGCAATAAAATATATCATAGACGGCATTGTTGACGTAGAAACCAATAAAATCATGCTGTACGGTGCAACTACATACGGTGAGCTGAAAGAGAAACTGAAAGTATACGAGACAGTAAAGGCGAAAATGGTGGATGAACGACGTAGACCCTCCAGTAGCAGCACGACGGCACCGGTAAATTACAATAAGACGACAAGACCAAGATGTTTTAACTGTGGAGGAAGCAACCATATTTCGGCTCAATGTTTTCACAAGGAAAGAGGGGTTAAATGTTTCCGGTGTAATGAGTTTGGACACAGATCTAGTGAATGTTCAAAACCTGCAAATCATCAACAAGTGACCAGTGAAAATTCAAAATGGCAGTCAGACAATCGTCAGCAACGTCATGCCAGTCCGAAACGAGCGATGTTCACGAAAACACCCGAACGATACAGTGTTGCCAACACGACGCAATCAACAACTGACTGGAGATCGAAACCGAACGTAGAACGAAACGCAGAACTGACAGATGACATTTCTGCCAACTTGATGGTATCGGACGTAAACAACAAAAGTGTGAAAACATCGAGGCCGCTAAAAGAAGTTCAATTTGTTGACAACAACGCGATAACTACGGCGAGTCTTATTGATACGGGCAGCGAGGTGAATCTCATGACGGAAGACGTGTACAAAACTATCGGCTCCCCAAAATACGACGACGGAAGATGTTTGACGTTGAGTGGACTCGGACGGACCGAAGTTGTCCCGTTGGAAAAAGATGATCAAGTTGTAGTACACGACATAGACGACTCTAGACACATGACTGAAATTGAGAAAATATTAGAAGACTGCAAGCCTACAGATGAAATAAAGAAAAGTAACGACTGTCAGATTGAACACCGACCTGTATCACGTATGAAACAAGCCGACGTCCTAAGCTGTTTAGTACTTACCGAGACGACTGCACGACTGAAGAAAGCACAAGATGAAGACGAACATATTCAGATGCTGAAAGAATCCTACCAGAATGACATGTTGTACCAAGAAAGAGATGAAGATGAATTATTATTTGTAGTACCGGAGAAGACGCAGAACGAAATTATAAGAGAGAATCACGAGGGAGGGAAAGAAGGACTGTTTAACCGGATTAATAAAGGAGATGATGAACTTGTTAAGATGATAGAAGAGGAAAACGTAGAAAGAATGAACGAGACAAGACCAGAGTTAAGAGAAAAGGCAAGAGAATGTGTGGAGACAATTCAAGATGGAAGTGTTAGAGTTTATAACAAGAAAAGAAAGAAAGCTAGAACATACGAGAAAGATGATTATAAGAATTGTATTAAAAAAGATTAGTTATAAGATGCTTTAATGTAAAATTTTGAAATGAAACAGTCCGAGGGCGGACTGTACGCAGGATGGCCGAGTGTGGGAGTGTGAAACGGAACGCAAGGGAGTGAGTGAGACGGAATGAATGAGTGAGGAAGTAAGAACGACGGGATTTAAACAGAAGACGATTAGTATTAAGACGGTTCTAGGACGTTCCTATTTTTTGTGGTTTATCCTGGAGTAAATACAAATACAGCTGAAGAAATACAACCTGGGTTTTAATTCCTACATTTAGATTTATTGAAATAGAATTTTACATACCTAGTTGTTTCGCTTTGGCTCCGTCAGAGGCGCTGGTAGCGGCTGCGTCTTTCGCCGCTTCTAGCTCACTAACTTGCTGGGTCAACTTCTCAACGCGTTCGGCGCTATCCTGTAAATACGACATAATATATTATTGATATTGAAGAAAAGATTAATTGTAAAGGTTTATAAGAAAATTGGCGATCGCTCTAAGCGGCAAAGCTTCAACTACACCAACGCGTGCAAATCGCCATCGCCGGCGCGATCAAAGGCCAAATGCCCATGACAGGTCGCGCGACCCATGACAGTCCGCGCGACCTGTCATTGGCCTTTGATTGCGCCGTGATCGCGCCAGCGATGGCGATCGGCACGCGTTGGTGTGATTGAAGCATTAGTGCTATCAGTGCTAAAAAAATGTATGAAAAACGTCACTATTGAAGTTAACAAACGTGTCCTCGCCGAAAACTGCCGAAATTCTATCTGCTCGGCGACCGGACTTTGTGTTAACACGTACCTTGTAGGCGTCCATCTCCATTCGAAGCTTGCTCTGCGTCCACTTAAGACGTCCTTCCAGCTCCTTGATGTCTTCTCTCTGCCTCTAGCAGCTTGAAGCTGTCAATACTAGCTGTATGAAACTAAAGTCCGGTCGCCGAGCAGATAGAATTTCTTCCAATGACCCCAAACTGCTGACGCGACTGTGCGACAGACGGCTGCAGTGAGTGTGCGAGCGCGACAGGAATATAATTACGCGCGAGCGATAAGGATGGGTAGCTTGGGGTCATTGGACGAAATTCTATCTGCTCGGCGACAGAACTTTAGCTTCTTCAAGCTGTACGTGTAAGGAGCTATGTGTTAACACGTACCTTGTAGGCGTCCATCTCCATTCTAAGCTTGCTCTGGTCCACTTCAGGAGCCCCTCAAGCTCCTTGATGTCTTCGCGGAGTTTCGCCGCCTCTCGCAGTTTGAAGCTGTCAATACTAGCTGTATGGAACTAAAGTCCGGTCGTCGAGCAGATGGAATTTCATACAATGACACCAAGCTAGCTAACCTTATTGCTCATGCGTAATTATGTTGCGGCCGCCCGTCGCACAGTAGCGACAGCAATATAATTACGCGCGAGCGATAAGGATGGGTAGCTTGGGGTCATTGGAAGAAATTATATCTGCTCGGCGACAGAACTTTAGCTGCTTCAAGCTGTTCGTGTAAGGAGCTATGTGTTAAAACGTACCTTGTAGGCGTCCATCTCCATTCGAAGCTTGCTCTGCGTCCACTTAAGACGACCCTCCAACTCCTTGATGTCTTCTCTCCGCCTCTAGCAGCTTGAAGCTGTCAATACTATAGTCCGGTCTGCGAGCACGTAGAATTTTGTCCAATGACCCCAAGCTACCTATCCTTTTCGCTCACGCGTAATTATATTCCTGTCGCGCTCGCACACTCACTGCGGCCGCCCGTCGCACAGTTACGACAGCAATAGAATTACGCGCGAGCGATAAGGATGGGTAGCTTGGGGTCATTGGAAGAAATTATATCTGCTCGGCGACAGAACTTTAGCTGCTTCAAGCTGTTCGTGTAAGGAGCTATGTGTTAACACGTACCTTGTAGGCGTCCATCTCCATTCGAAGCTTGCTCTGCGTCCACTTGAGACGGCCCTCCAACTCCTTGATGTCTTCGCGGAGTTTCGCCGCCTCGCGCTCGCTGTTTGATAGCTCGTGGCACTGGAACAAGATTTAAATTACATAAACCACTTAAGTAGATATCAGTGCACTGAAAATCCTAATAAATAATCACTTAAAAAAGCATCGCCAAAAAGAAGAAGCGTTACTCTGATATCGCGCTAGTGCGTCGAATTGTGTTGTAAAATGTACGCGTTACAGTTAGTTAGTTAGTTAGTTAGTTTTGCAGGGCAATCGAATACCGCACTTAGCCTCATGATAGGGCCATTGTGCGCGATTTGTGGTTTATCTTCCTACTCCAACCACCCCAGATCCCCCCAGAAGGCGAGCAGCCCGTCCAGGCTGCTGCAGGCTTCCTGTAGCGACGACGGTGATCGAAGAAATTGAGCCCGTTGTTCGCGTTACAGTTAAAATATGCGCTTACGCTAACATAGGACGCGTAGTTCATAGTTCGAGCGGAGTGCTTCTACGCACGCGGTATTTTGCAACTCATTTATCTGCTGTCTCACTCTCTCCCCAAGGGTTCCGTTCTCCTGTCTTTTTCTACGTCACTTTCGCAAACATACAAGCGCGCGTATCATAAAAATCGGCACCCGGGGCGATCA